AAACTTGTCATTTTCCACACCTGTTTTCAGGCTTGGCTCCAGTTGTTCAAAAGCTGGCAGATAGTCCTATCCACTGAATAACGCGATTGGTTTCCCTACCACTTATCCACTGGATGGTGATGTATTCAGTGGATGACGCTATCCAGCTTTTGAACAACCGAGGCCCCTAAAATCAATAGTATATACCCCAGTATTCAAACCTGGCTTCTAAAAGTTATACTCGATTTTTGGTATAGGTTTCTTAATGAGCTGAGCCTCGGTTGTCCAAAGGCTGGATAGTACTATCCACCGGACAAATCTCCATCCAGTGGATAGTGCAATTTGCAGTTTCCCTAAGAAAGAAGAAAGAAAGAGAAAGAAGGAAAGAAAACCGGGAAGGAACTGGGACTCAGTAGACTCAGCCAGTCTCAGTCTCCCGCAGATGTAGTTTACAAGATGGAGGACATTTGCAGCGAACTTGATAAACTCACCGTTACATTTTTCGACAATCTCGAGCTTCTTCGCGAGAAGCGGGAACATCTTAACGGCGCAATAAGAGATGGACATTTAAACCTGTCAAAGGCACGTTATTCAATGGGAAATAAGTCCGTGGGCACCTTACAGTACAGCCACAAAATGGACTGCGCTCTGTATCATGTTAGAGATGATTTTCCAGATGAACAACCCATAGAATCTTCTGTTGCGTTTGAACTGCTTAAAACTTCGCCCGGTAGACATATTGAAAAACCTGAGAGTGTATCTGATGATAAAGATGAAACGAAAAGCTTAATAAGGAGACGAAAACCCGAAAAGAGGGACAGCCCTGGAAAGGATGAAGACCTAGAAACATCAGCTATCGAAGAATTAAGTCTCTCGAGACCGAAAGAAACATCGGGAGCTAGTTCACGTAATGGTTGTGTAGAAGATCCAATCAAATGGTTTGGAATTTTGGTTCCTGGATGCTTGAAAGCGGGTCAGAGAGATTTTCAAAGGGCCATTGAACTGAGCTGTGAGGTGGTTAACCTGGAAGCAAAAGCGAGAGAAATAATCGGCAAGTTCGAAGTTTTGAAAGTACGAAAGTTAGAACTTCAGTTGGAGGAAGATAAAAAGCGTCAAGGAATTGAAGCCTAATCTTGTGTCCAAAAGTTAAAGGAAGGATATATCTTGTGAAACGTTTACTAAGTCTATATATATTGTTTAAAGAGAGGTAGAGTATTGAAATATTCATGAGTATTCGGGTACCCGGTGAATGCGAGAAGAAAAAGCAGGCAGGTTGTCCCATTTGTTGGAATGCTAGTAATACTAAGAATGTCCGATGACCAGATTTATTAATATAGCTTGTTCACAACTTTTCAGTGTGCTCCATCCTTTGACATTTGTAACATGATGCATGCATTTTACATGAGAATAACCGTAATTATTGTATTGTGTAAATGAATACAAGTTATCAAAGAGACGGGTGATTCTATTGAAATCACTTAACTGTTAGCACCCAGAAAAAAAAAAAGGTTATTTTTTTAGCACTCAGAAAAGAAAAAAAGATGATTTTTTTCGCATTTGAATTTTCAAATAGGTTCCTTCTGAGCACCCCTTTTGGCCATGTTACTTTCCCTAATCTTTGAAAGGCAATAGCAACTGTTCAGATGGCTTGCAGTTGAGATTATCACAAGTGTTCATGGAGAACTTTCCGGCATGAGAAATCAATAATAATTTATTTCTCTTCATTTTTCTGATTGAAAAAGATGCAAGGTCACTGAGTTATTCTTGGTAGCCTTTTTTGTGAGTTTTGGGCTCATTGGCCGGAAATGATTTTGCTTCTCTGCCATCCACTAAAATATAGCACCTAGCTAGCTTGGTCAATAATAATACAGTGAAACCTCTCCTGACAGATACATCTCTATTACGGACAGTTTGTGTGGTCTCAAAGTTGCCAAGTGTCATACAACTTCTGGTCTGTAATACAGACACCTCTGTGATAGTGACACTTAGTCCTGTCCCTTTGGTGTCCATATGAGAGAGGTTTGTCTTAAAAAGTTGAACCTCCAGCTCTCCTTACAGGAACCTACTTATTATGGTGGAGATCTCTCTCTTATGGACAGTTCGGTTGACTGTAGCATGTACATACATACATACATACTTTATTGGCTCGTCCCCACGGGGCTTTTCAGAGTCAATTTTACATTACAAAATTATAAACCAAGTACGTGACAATAAGAATATAACAATGATAAAAGAAGACAAAGGTCAATAAAATTAATTAAATTAATTAAATAAAGCAGTCATTAAGAAGCTTTTGCCTGAGTAAACACTTGAATTCCGTCACGGATGGGCTAAGTTTGAGCGCAGGCTGCAACTCATTCCAGAGAGAGGTTGCTCTATATTGAAAGGTCCTTTGGCCGCTGGCAGTGCGGAAGAGTGGTATGTTCAAAAGTTGAGAATTTCTCGTATTCCTTGTCGAGACGGCGGATCTTCCAACGAGCTTTGATGTCAAATACTCCGGAGCACAACTCGTCATGCACTTAAAAACCAGAACAGCAAAACGAAAATAAAGTTGTTGCCTGATTGGTAGCCAGCGCAAGTCTTTTAGCAAAGGAGTTATGTGATCGAATTTTTTAGCGCCGCTCAAAATACGACAAGCGAAATTCTGTACTGCTTGGAGCTTGTCCAGATTAGTTTGAGTAGTATTGCTCCAAACAGAAGAGCAATAGAATAATTTACTAAAAACTAAGGCATTTATAATAATAATTAGCGCGTGTTTATTAAAAATATGCTTAACGCGGTTAATTTGACCCAAACGTGACATGCATGAGGATACAGTAGAAACAATATGCTCATTATATGTTAAGTTAGAGTCCAGTGTGACACCAAGGTCTCTTGCAGCCTTAACGGGCTCGAGTTCCTTCCCCAATAGAAATAGCCTAAAGTCGCTAACCTTAGCAGTCATTTGCCGGCTGCCGAATATCACTAGTTTTGTTTTATCTGGGTTGAGTAAAAGCTGATTATCAAAGCACCAATTCCTAATGCTTAACAAGTCCTTGTTCATTTTTTCTATCGTTTCGTGCTGATCGCGGAGTTGAAATGACATGAGAAGTTTGGTATCGTCGACGTAACACTGCGATGTACAATTTTCTGGCACAGAAGGGAGATCATTAACGTAGATGTTAAAGAGTAATGGGCCAAGGATGCTCCCTTGTGGAACGCCAGAACTAACAGGTAGTTTGGTCGACAGAGTTGTATTTATTCGCACAAATTGGTATCGCGAGGTTAAATAGCTTCCGAGCCATTTTATCGCAGGTCTGGACGCACCAATGTCCTGTAACTTAGCGAGGAGTATTTGATGGTCAATACTGTCGAAAGCTTTGCTTAGATCAAGGAGGACAACTGCAGTCAGTTTCTTTTTGTCAATGGCATTTAGGATTTCGTCAGTTGTTTGAATGACAGATGTTTCCGTGTTCCATGTTTTCCATGTTTCCGTTTTCCATGTTTGAAGCTGGTTGGGGGATGGGGGGGGGGAGGGTCTCAATAATAATGGTCATACTGTATGGGAAATTTGCTTCATCCAATCTCATCAGTATGGAATTTTTGCACTTGTTTCTCAGATGTCATTTTGCAGGAAAACCATTGGTGGCATCGCGACCTCGTTCCCAGGGTTCTCTCCTACCTGCCCTCTTGCTCCGTAGGGCGGGTAGGAGAGAACCCTGGGAACAAGGTTGGTGTCGGAAATGTTGGCTGTTTTCTCAGCCTAAAATTGAACCACAACACAGACACATGTAAGCTATAACTTCAGCCTGGGTTTAAGTTGACAGTCTTTTAAACAACCGTGGATAGGATTAAGAATTTTTTTCCCAGAGGAAATGATGGCATTTGTAATTACAAAATTAAAATTGGAAATTTTGTTGAATTTTAAATTTGGCCACCTTCAGGAGTGAAAGGGTGTTTTTTTAAAGTTAAAAACTGGGTTTGCAAATGCAGAGTTACTATTGAAGAGATAAACACCAATATGACTCCTTCAAAAACTTAGGAAAATGAACGACTTTTATGGTTAAACATACATTTCATCTGACAACCTAACATTACATAGCCTGCAGTGTAGGCTTCAATATGTTGTTGTAGTCTTGGATAACACTATCTCCTGGATAAATCTCCAGGAAGGCTGTGCCCCAAGAAGAACTGAAGGGGGCCCATTTCTCTGAACCTGTGAAATCCAGGGTGCCCAGTGTACGATTTCTGTGAAAGGAGTTAATAGATTTTCTAGCTGTCTGGGAACAAAAGTTAGGGTCCACTTGGTGCTGCTAGAACACGTCTTGTCCAGTGAATAAGTGTTAGGGAAACCATTGTATCATTAATTACATAGAGATTCATCGCACTAACCATCTTACATGTAGAACCTGGCATATGGAATGGTTTCTTAAGAGTAAGAGGCAGCATTAGATTTCTCTCACTTTTAATATGTTGTGGATGAGTCAAAGAGGCTTTGCCTGTACACTTATCACTACTTTTAAAATCAAACTTAGTGTCTACACACTGGAAATATTGAGCTTTCATCTGGCTGGATAGATGCCAATACACCTGTCAATGTCTTGCCCTGGAAGGGGTGGTGGAGGGAGGGGAGGCATACCCATTTGTTGTAGTGGAGTTCACGCACCCATGAGCAGAGCCCCATAGCTAAGAACATTTGGTTATCTATCCGTCCAATAAATCTTGGTAGCCATGTGACTGTCCTTCTGTCCACCCGTCCACATCACAGGGCAACCAATATTGAATGTCACACTTTCTAGCCAGTGCCCCCCCCTCGCTCTCCTCCCAGGTAAGGCATTGATAGGTGCATAACAAAGAATATTTTAAACTTCCTCAAGTTTCCACAGAGAAAACCTTTTGGAATCAGTGTATACAAAACAATCCTTTTGCTCATCTTGGTTTTTTTAACTCTTCAGCTAACAGCTGCTGTTTATTTAGCAACTAAAGGTCTTGCTAAAAGTGAATGAAATTTTATTGTGCAAAGATTTCATAAGTTAAAAAGTCTATTTCTTGGCAGCTGCTTGCTTGGCTTCTTCTGCCTTCACTTGCTCATGTTCGTTGATTAGTTTTTCAACTTCTTGTGCTCCAAGAATCTTGATCTTTGTTCTGCCATTCTCTCGTGTCAGGGTGGAAAACTCAACTAAAACAGAACAGAATCGAGCTTAAGAACAGACTGCACAGAAAATGTATATTAAATTTTAATACACGAGACTTAAAAAAAGGTAATATTATTCTCTTTACGGCAAATAATATCTGTGTTGGTGATGAGATTTACTTTTCTTAGATATCATATTTTTATGTGTCATCATCTCTCATCCATGGTAGTTACTTATTAGTAGAAACAATGATAAATTAATGCTCATGACCATATGATACAAAGAGTCTTGAGAGACATATGGAGGGGGACAGCATTAACCCATTAACTAAGAGTACCTCCTCTGTTTTCATGGAGTCAAAGTCAGTTATTGTCTATAAAGACAATCTGGAAATAATTTTCTTGCTCTGGAAAGAACAAGGTCATAATCGTAGATCCATGGGCCTTCTAGTCTGAACCATTGCTGGGCCTCTATGCACTGCACACTTTAGGTAAATGCAAAATGTTAACCACATTACTGTGTGACTAGGAAGACTTACAAAGTGTCCACATATCACTCTAGGAACTAACCTTTATCGGGAGTTAGTTTGGTGATATCCAAAGTCTTATCGAGCACTTTGACAGCTAGTTTCAGAGCATCTTTCAATGTCATTTCTCCTTCTTTGTACTCTTGTTTAAGCATAGAAACTGCTGCCTACATTACAAACAGCAAAAAAAAGAAAGAAATTATTGCAAGATAAAAAGTGTGTAAGAGAAGACTCCGAGTCCTTGGAGATGAAGTCAAACTCACATGACTGAATCATTTTAGTGGCTGAATGAGTTTACACAGCATAGAAAAAGTAATGCAGTTTATTGAGCATGTCAAAGGTTAGAGTTTCTCTCTGTTGGATGTGCTTTTTTCATGTTGCATGGAAGCGCGTCAGTGATTAGTTATCATTCCAGAGTTCATAAAACAATAAAATAATTTAATACTTAATCTAATACAAGGAATGTTCAGATGGCAGAAAACAAAACTTCTTATCTTCTTATCCCTGATGATGCTGTTGATTGGTGAAAGCTCGGATAATTTTTAACTTTTAGTTTAAATAAGGTGTAAAGCTGCTCAATTAAGACCTCACTTAAACAATGCTTACTCTCAGAAGCTAAAGCCACTTTTATCAATTGACAGCTTTCTGAGCTGCCATTTTAGTGCCACTCGACACCAAGGCTTAAGCATTCAAGATAGTGCTGAAAAGGTATACAAAAATAATAGTACAGGGAACCCAAGATTATGAACTAAGTTCTTGCATTGTCAGAGGAGTGCCCTTTGAATGTACTCTGTAGAGTATTTAATTACATGGTTAGCCCGATATAGACATGACTGCTTAAATCTCTGGACTCAACAAAGGTTTTTTGGATCTCTGTGGTGGAATGTGGCCTTAGATCTCACAAGGATTCCCAATTGATTGCATGATATGCCAATTAAATGATGGAAAACTCTGTACACCTTGATTATAAACTTACCACACTGTTGTTTCCAATGCATGTTGCCTTCCACCCACTATAATTTCCACTTGGGTCACTTTGATACAACTGAAAACCATAATGTTTATCCCATCCCATATACAGAATAGAAACACCAAATGGTCTCAGACCTGCAAAAGAAAGACAAGGGGGAAATTCCTTGTAAAATAACACTCTTATAACATAAAATAGAATCACAAAATCGATGATTTAAAAACTATTGATTGCCTTCTTAAACAAACACATACAGAAATAGGTTGCGAGAGGAAATTCATGGGATTTTGCCAGGTATAATTAACATGCACTGCAATTTTCCATGCAATAATACAAGTGTATGTCAAAAACAAAACGAAAAACACAGTAGTGCAGCATTGTCACAATTGTTATGATATTACCAGAGGGAGAACTAAATTAACAATACTTTTCACAACATTTGGAGCAACTAAAACATTACAAGACAACCCCCATTTCAGAGGGTGTACATGTAACACAAAGCAATTTTTTGCTGAAATCATCAAAACCTGGTTTTCACTACCACACAAGCATGATACAAGCAGAAGTATGAATGTATTGCATAGCAGCATATTAAGCAAACATAACAAGAAGCAGAAGCATATTTGATCCTTGTGCTTGCATCTAGAGGATTTTAACCTTCTATAGGGATGTACTCTACTCTTGCGCACTTGACTGTGCTAGTGTTGCTACATTACCCCTGCAAGTTATCCTGGGTAGAGTTGTTTGTAGGATGGTTAGTGCAAATCTAGGGTTACTGTTACATGTATATTGATCAACAATATACTCATAATATACTCTGTTTACAGTTGACCCAGGATTAGAGCTAATTGGGTTTTGAACAACTCTGTCCTGGACATCACAGTTGCAATTTATTTCAAGCAGGTAACTGACAAACTTGGACTAGGAAGATGAGGGATTAAGTGATCTCACCTCCGAATTGTGTGTAGGCCTGTTTGACATCACACAGTGAACTGACTAACTGTTCGCAGGGAATTGCCTCTTGAAACTGAAGTAAATATCTGCCAAAGGGTGAACCAAATTACATGGCTTTAAAATACCATAATGTCAAAAAAAACTTATGTGACACTTTAAAACTGTTACTAACTGGGTGCTTAACACTCAGTAAATTTACTTAAAACATACAAAAAAGAGAATGATTTGTATAAACTGCACTTAAGTCTACTATCTCGAAGATAGATACAGGTAACCAGTGAGTGAACATAATCCATTATTAGTATAACATGGAACAGAATTAAGTGAATAACGTAGAGTATGCTGATGTTTCAAGCATTAACCATTCAAGAGGGGAATTAGTTTCTCCGACTAAAACAGTGGTCAACTTTTAAAAATGTAAGTAACACCTTGATGCAATTACAAATCCATTAAGCTGAAACAAATTTTAAAATAATATTACAGGCTAGTTTACACAATACAATGTATTATTTGTTGGCACCACTTTATAAAGAAAACATTTGACAAACACATACCATTATGACCTTATCTTATATTTTAATCCACTATTAAAACTTGTCTTCCCTTTAGATAGAAGATTGGAGTGATAAATAGTTTATTGACAATTATTATAATAATAACATGTTAATAAAGCACATGACAGATCACACCAACAACATGTATCAGTGCGCAAAGAAAGTAGTATCCAATAGCCTGGGGCTAATGGATTTTATTATTGGGCTAGTGAATTCTGTTCTTAACCTGCCCGCCTGGCAAGTGAAATCTTTTAAGAAATTCAAATCACAAAAGAACTGTTATCAACCCTGCTTATCATCGGGCTAGTTAAAATGACTTTTCGGCTAGCACATGCTAACTACAGCTTGCATGAATGGCAAGCTGTAAAACTGACTTTCTTTGCACCCTGATGTATTGTGTAAACTAGCTTAAGGGTGGTTGACAGTACCTTTGAGCTATAAGTCTAAGTTGGTTTGTGAGCACATTAGCATCTGATGTTATACCAGCCACACTGCAAGCCAAGTCGCTGAAAAATGAATTTCATACATGCCATATGCTGTTATAATCATATTAATAAAACCATACCAAAGACACATGTAAAGTTGTAGTTTAACTGCCAGTATGGCCAGGTATTACTTCACAGATCCTCTATTGTGAATAAAATATCACATTACTTTTCCACTCTGGATGGATAAAAAAAATATTTTGATCACCGGTTACTACAGTTAAATAACACTGAGGGTTCTCAATAGGATTTGAAGTAGGCAGCTGTGACAAATGGAGGGACTGTAAACTAGGGAGGGAAAAGCAGCAAATAGAATGTAAAGTAAGCAGCTAAAAAGTCCAAAGTGGGCAGCAATCAATTGCCAGGTGCCAGTTGCTATTGAGAACCCTAAACACTACATAATTAACACTATTTCTCTCACACATCCTGCAAACAACAAATTTCTTAAAAACTTACTCGTGGAGCTTGTAAATCTTTTCTGAGGCAAACACTTCATCAAGGAGTTTATTTGTATTTCTCCTCTCTGCAGCCAAAACAATACCATCATTGGCTAGGATCCCCAAACAAATGCCAGCATGACCAACCGCCTCCATGGCATATTCCACTTGATAAAGTCGCCCTGTTTACAAAGGCAGCAAATCACAATGAGAAATTTCATAAGGATGAAATTCTACAGTGACACTATTTAAAGGAGAAAACAAAATACTACTACTAATAATAAAATAAATAATAACAATAAAGAACACCAGAAAAGACTGTGACAGAAGAGATAATTTTTATTCAACTTTAAAATATGTACATAATTATTTACAGGAATATTTGAAGTGAGAATTAAGCACTATACAGCTGTACAACACTGAGAATTATATAAATCATAAAAATACAATCACTGTGTCAATAACGATTTCCCAAATACATTCCTTGCAGCTCAGAAGCAATCAATAACTCTTGCAGGCAGTCCAGTGTTTTAAAGTAAGTCATGACAAAAGAAAATTATCAGTCTCTGATTTTAAAAAGAAAACAAGTTAAAAAGAATAAAATATCATATTCCTAAATTCCTAATTCTTTAAAAAAAATTCCTAAAAAAAGATTAATTCAGGCAGGCTCTACTGCTTTCGATCTGTAAATGTGATAATAATAATAATGATGATAATAAAAATAAAAATAATAATAATAATAATAATAAAGTAGGACCGGGGGACCTTTGTCTCTGCCACCTTAGTTTATAAGAGGGAGCTTAAGCAAGTTGTTGTCGTGTGTTCCCGTCCTCGAAAAAAATGTGAAATTAGGCACTTTCACGTTATATTTGTGCAATGACAGCAAAGAAATGTACAAAAATCGTGATGCAGATGCAAAGTTGTTGTTTTGCTAATATAAACCTATTTCTTTTTTGCCCTTCTCACTGCTGTTGTCATCGTCATTACTTAAGCTCCCTAAGGTCTCATAGGGCAAGAAAGTCAGAGAATTTTAGACTAACATACATGTAGTAAGGCTTTATTACCAGAAGTACACTTTATGGTGGGCAAATAGAACTGTTTGAAATAGGAATTGTATCTTGGAAATCTGAAGAATGATAGGAAAGTTTGTCATGCAGTCTATAAGGTTTAATACAAAAATGTAACAGAGCATCGACCGACTGGTATAGGGACTTACAAAATAAAGCAACACTCCAAAGTATAACTATTGTTATTATTACCTTCTGGGGAGAATATCGTCGTTCTAGTGTCGTAACGTCGGGACTATAAACAGAAAAACAGATGATAAAACATGTGTAAAAATAGTTTCACTAAAAAATAATCACATCTTATTAAAATAAACTTGGAATAGAAAGTAGGGGTTCAAGACTGACACGAGATCATTCCAAGCAGTTTGAGGAAAACGTTGATGGTACATGAAATTCACAACAAAAATTGAAAAATACTCGCTTAGGGTAAATTATTTACAGAGTTAATTTAATATATCTGTTTACAAATACAGAAAAATAATGAAAAGAAGATAAAAACTGTGCAAAAGAAACAAAATTTACCTACCATTTTGATAGAGAATGACAGTGCACGCTGCTCGGATGGGAGATTGGAACCGATACCTCATACGCATACTCTTCATGAACGACCGCTGCGGGCTTGCGGACTCTTACGTTGCACCACAACATTGTAAAATGTGCCATTGAATATTGTCGTGGAAAAGCGGAAAAGGAAGGCCCAGTTTTCTTTGGAACTTTGGTGAGCTAAAATCATGAGAGCTACAACACCGCAACATCTTTGTGAACTTCAGAAAAATCCGAAAAATATAAGAAATATTTGTATTTTGGCACATGTTGACCACGGTAAGCCACAGTCGTTAATTTTTACACGTGCATATTTCTTCTTCTGGCTCGTGCGCCATTGGTTTTTCTTTTTTGTAACGGTATTGTTTTTTGTCTGTTTTCCAAAGGTAAAACAACGATAGCTGATGCTTTGGTTGCCAGCAATGGGATCATTTCGCAGCGACTAGCGGGCAAAGTAAGGTTCATTCCCCCCGGTTGGGAGCGTCTGTTGGGTGGGGTAGGGGGGTTACTTTACATGCAGGAATGGGAAGGTTGGGAGTGGTGCTGGGAGTCCGGAACACTTAGCCTATATCAGACTTTCCCAGTTTGGCTGAATTTTGCTTCCCTGTTTAAGACGTAACTCGCAAAATCTCTCCCCATCCCAGAGTCGCTAATAATTTTCCAGAAGTTACTGACGTTGACATTTTCTTTGCTATTATTCAAACTGAGTTGCAGGTAAGAGGACTGGCTGACTTCATTTTTTTGAATGTCAATTCCCAGTTTTACTCGTCTCACCTTTTGAAACTTTAATTGGGAAACTCGATTCCGAAAATATTGAATATTTTCTAATGGGAGACCTTAACTGCGACATGATTGCTACTCGATATGACAATAATACATGCAAATTAATGAGTATCACTGATATTTATGGTGTACAGCAACTTATCACTGAACCAACCAGAATAACTCCGACTTCTGCAACTTTGATTGATGTAATAATTATATACTAATTGTCCAGATAAAGTTGTGTGTTCGGGGGTTCGTCATATCAGTATTAGCGATCATAGCATAGTTTTTGCCTATTGAAAATTATCTGTGAATGGAATGTCTGGTGGGCACAATGCTATAACCTACAGAAACTTTAGAAAATTTAATCGAATAAATTTTTGGAACAATATTGCATCTCATTGTTGGGATCACATATACAATTCAACTGATCCCAATGAAATGTGGCTACAATGGAAATGCTCGTTTCTATCTATTGTTAACAAGCATGCTCCCTTGAGAACAGTGCGTGTTCGCACGCGTAGTTTCCCATGGATTACATCTGAGCTTAAGAAACGAATGCATGATCGGGATATTCTAAAGATTAAAGCAAGTAAATCGAATGATTCAAATGACTGGTCACTTTTTAAAAAACAACGCAATATAGTAAATAGTGAAATCAGATTAGCCAAGCAAGCCTATTATCAAAATAGTTTTAACAAGTATACGGGCGATTCTAAAAAGACCTGGCAGACTATCAATGAACTTACTTCGCGAAAATCTGGGAAAAAATCGGTGACATCTGTAAAAGTAAATGGAGTATCAATAACAAATCCAACCGTGCTGTCGAACCAATTTAATAATCACTTTGCTACTATCGGTCCAGAACTTGCTAGCAATATTGATTCCTCAAATAGTGATGGTTATCAAAAGTACCTCACTGGCACAGATAAACAGTTTCAGCTCTATCTGACCAGTACAAATAAAGTTCTCTCACTTTTGAATCGTCTAAATAAGTCAAAGGCAGCTGGCCTTGACAAGATATCTGCTAGGCTCATTCGGGAATGTGCAGATCTCATTTGCATTCCTATCCGTGATATTTTTAACCAGTCAATAAGTCAAGGCATATTTCCGGATGACTGGAAATGCGCAAAGGTCACCCCACTTTTTAAACAAGGCGATCGGGACGACTTAAATAATTATCGTCCAATTTCGGTGATCTCAGTTATGGCCAAGGTCTTTGAAAGAATCGTCTATGATCAATTATATGCCTACCTAGAAGAGCACAATATAATCTGTAAATATCAATCAGGCTTTCGTGCTATTCACTCAACTGTCACGGCTCTCCTTGAGGCCACGGACACTTGGGCGTACAATATTGACCGCGGTAAAATCAACGCCGTTGTTTTCTTAGATCTCAAAAAGGCCTTCGACACAGTTGACCATGAGATCCTTTTATCAAAATTAAGCAATTACGGCATATATGGTAACGCGCACCAATGGTTTAAGTCATATTTAGAGAATCGTACTCAAATGTGCTCCATCAACGGATCGCTCTCTCAAAGCTGTTTATTAAGTTGTGGTGTTCCCCAGGGGACGATTTTAGGTCCATTACTATTTCTGTTATACATCAACGATCTTCCAAACTGTCTTTCAAATTGTGAGCCGAGGATGTACGCTGATGACACCCACCTTACATACGCAGGTGATAATGCAGACAATATTCAGTTGCATCTAAATCAAGATTTAGAAAATGTTCACAATTGGCTGAGAGCAAACAAACTTACTCTAAATATGACTAAAACCGAATTTATGCTTATCGGATCTAGGCAGAGGCTAAGTACTCTCACAGAGTCCCCGACATTTGCAATTAATGATTTTCAAGTTAGCCAGGTCACTACTGCAAAATCACTTGGAGTGACCATCGATGACAGACTTGATTGGAGTGGCCATATCGAGAAAGTAACAAAGAAAGTCGCTTCTGGTATTGGGGCCATAAAATGAATAAGGCACCTTGTCCCTCAGGCGACCTTGCAACTAATATATCAAGCTTTAATACAGCCACACTTTGATTATTGCAACATTGTTTGGGGAAACTGTGGGATAACCTTACGGAATAGGGTTCAAAAGCTACAAAACAGAGCAGCCCGTGTTTTGACCTACTCAAGCTATGACGTAGATGCTGGTCACCTTTTCAAACTTCTAGGGTGGAAAAACCTAGCTTGCCAGCAACAATTTCAAAGAGCTATGATGGTTTACAGGTCTCTGCACGGGTTGGCTCCAAACTATCTTAGTTCTAAATTTGAAAGGCGAGAAGTCGCATATAACCTAAGGGACTCTGAAATAAACTCAATGTTACATTACAGCGCACAAACTATTACAAAAACAGCTTCAGCTATAGTGGCGCCATTCTCTGGAACAGTTTTCCTTGTAACTTAAGGGAAGCAGAGTCCCTTGGGCAATTTAAACGATTACTCAAAGAACTCTAAGGCACGACATTCGTGGAAAGCAGCTCTTTTATTTAAATATTTTTATTATATTAGTATTAGGCATTTTTAAAGCTGACGAATTTTGTACCGTGGATAAATAAAGATTATCTATCTATCTATCTATCTATCTATCTATCTATCTAGACTCAAATCATCAACCAATTGATCAGTTTCCTGGAAAATGATACCCTATCCTCTGATTTCTTTACCCTATGTCAAACAAATAAAATTGCTTAAAAAAACCATACCCTTCACAGTGGCACATACCTATAATTATAACCCATATATGGCAGTATATTTTAAGTGTCATTGTTTTAGAAGAAAGTTGAGTTTAAAATTTACTTTTTTTCTTTTTTAGCTGAGGTATATGGATAGCGGGGAAGATGAACAGCTCAGAGGAATAACAATGAAATCAAGTGCCATCTCTTTGCTTTTTTCCAAAGGTGAGTCGATTATAGCTGTAGTACATCCTTGGAGTCCTGTGAGCAGTCATTTGGGTCAGGGAAAACAGCGGCAAAAGTTTTCAAGAACACGTGACAGAGCCCCTGGGATGCTAGTCTTAAAGAAGTAGTTCTGCAACTCATGCCCATTTGAATGTTTGTCTGTGATTGATATTTTTGGTGCCCAATCAGAGGCCAGCATCTATTGTGCTGCTTTTGTGATCTTGTTGTACATAGGAGTTTACCTGCAAGCTCGACTGTTCGCCGTGTACCTGTCTGGCTTGTGCCGGAGAGCTTTCTTCAAGAAGAATAACAGTTGTTTGTGAAAGTGGGCCTCCCGAAAACAAAAAAAAACACAAGTTAGCATGTTAGCAAAACAAAGCAAAACAAAAATGCACTAACTTAAGAGATCACACTGTGGACGGATGGAAGGTAAATTTGTAAACATTAGTGAGAATACTTCTACATATCTAGGTTTGCTCATGCAAATCTGAAAGTTTACTCTACCGGTTTCATTTTATCCTATTGTGTGACTGAGAAGAAAAATTTAACAACAAATTATTTACAACTTAAAAGGGCGAAAAAACTTCTCCTGCACATCGCCTGACAAGTATGCAGAGAAGCTAGGCCTAAACAGCCACACACACAATTTTGCATGAACAAGCCTAGAAGTACGCTTGTGTTTATGAAGTTACCTTTGATCAGTCCACAGTCTAATTCATTCAACTGGTGCATTTTTGTTGTTTCATTTTGTTTTGCTAACATGCTAAATTATGAGGTAAAATTTCCTTATGACCCCATACCTTTATTATGGTGCATGTTTCCTCTCTATTCATTCATATCAACTATATGTGTGAAATAGTATAAATTTGCTACATGCATGATAAATGTATGAGGTTATAGTCATACCTAAATCTTACCAATTATGGAATTTCTTTGGTTTCTTGGGTCCCATTTCACCAAAAACTCTTCTGAAATAAAGCTATCCTGCACGAGCCAGACAGGTACGGCGAGGAAGATCATGAAAACAACAAATAAGTTGTGGAACTAGTTCATTAAGAGTAGTATCCCAGGGGCTTTCTTGCCCGTTATTGAAAACTTTCGCCACCGATTTTTCCTGACCCAACTGACCACCCCTCAGTCTCTGAGGATGGACTTTGGTATTGATGTGGGAGACAAACCTGGTATTGAATTTCTTTCTTTTTTTGCAAGCTAGTAATAATGTTTGCAGGACTCTTTTTTTCTTAAATGCTAAAACTGCAAAACTGAGTATTATCTGATTTCGAATACCCCATAATATACTCTATTTGTTTCCCAAATTTTGCCTCAACCATTGTTTTCAAATCCTTCTGGGAGGACTACATACTCCCAAGAGCATGGGGGACAAACAAAGTCTTATGGGAGATACGAGAATAGTTAATGCATGACAATAGAAGGAATTAAGTATACACTGTTCAGATAAATTGTTTAATGAATTAAGTAAATTATTTGTGGTTAAAGTGAAAACTAATCTTATTTTGTATACTGTGTGCACACTGTAATATTATTTTTATCAATTAAATCCTTGTTTTTAGATGAAGAAGAATATGTAGTTAACCTGATTGATTCTCCAGGGCATGTTGATTTCTCAAGTGAGGTAAAAAAGCATATGCTGTAACACACTGTTGAATTTGTTTTAATATCAAGCTGCTGTTATTTTTAACATTTCTTTAATAAGTACCCTGTTTCATTCCAATAATGTTACATTATTTTTATTCATATTTGCAACTCAGGTCTCAACAGCTGTCAGACTTTGTGACGGTGCGATTGTAGTGGTGGATGTGGTTGAGGGAGTCTGTCCACAGGTTTGAACATGTTCTTTGTAAAATCCTTCGTACTATCTAGTATTCATATCCCAACCAGTTAGCATGTTACTGGTGGCTGAGAGGATTTAGTTTTAGTTGTATGATAACGATGATGATAATAACAATAATATTATCATCCAATCAAGTACACGGTTTTTCTGAGGGAAACAGTTAAGTCTTCCTAGTCTTCCTGTCCATCTTTCTTAATTTCTCCATCTATTTTATAATCCCTCCTCCATAAAGGATAATTGAGACCACTCTTGGGTTGCTGTTGTTGTTGTTATTATTATTACATTGTAGTATTATTTATTGTTATTATTTTTATCTCCATCATCATTATTATTATTATTATTGTTATTAGTTTTATTATTATTAGGTGTGCATAATTATAGCTTACTCGGTAGTGAGATCGATGTAGGAGACAATATTAAGAAATAGTTGAGTACCAAATATTTTCAATGCTTCTTTATAGACTCATGTGGTGCTGCGTCAAGCTTGGCTGGAGAATATTCGACCATGTTTGGTGCTGAACAAGATTGACAGGTTGATAACAGAGCTAAAGTACTCTCCGGCTGAGGCTCATTTTCACTTGCAGCAAATTTTGGAAAAGGTAAAAACCTTTTTCGATTCATAGTACAGCATCATTACAATCCAAAAAGCCAATTTTTATGATCTGAACGTAGTTAATGTAAGACTTAATAAAATTAATGTTCTAAGCCACACCCATATAATTTGCATTGTGGACTGGGTTGAGTTGTGTTCATCAGGGGGGACAGTGCAGTGTGACACAGAAGAGGGAGTCTTCAGAACAGGTCAGCAAGTAACTTACCCCTGTTACAACATGCACAGTTTTTCCCAGTCCCTTAGGACTCTTCACTATACAATGGAACCTTGATTTGACAAACTTCTATATAGCAAAGTCCTTGGTACATGTATAACGAATGATTTTCTTCAGTGCGGCCAAAATTACAGTAACTTAAGATGTATGGAACAGAACCTTGATTTTACGAAATCGTCGTTGTAAGGAACTTAATCCAGAAGCACAATCATAAAATATACCTTGATATAGGGGTTAAATGTCAACATGTGATAAAAGATGAATGCCAAACAGGACAACAAGGATAAAATTTAAGCGTACGGTAGTTTTAAGCAGTTTTGTTGGCCTGTTCTTGAGTTTCTGATGCCGTAGCTATATAAATGTAGCTCGGGACTGAGACATCTGGATTCCCAGATCCTGGAATACCTCGATATAACAAACATTTTGGTTGTTTTTTGAATATTTGTTATATTGAAGTGTTCGACATAATGAACCCTCAAAGTAACGAACAAATTTCCCCAGTCCCTTGGCACTTCCTGAAATTGAGGTTCCACTGTGTTGGGGTTCCACTGTTTATAGCGCTGCATTTTGAGTTAAGGGTACCAGAAATGCAAAATGTAATTCAAGAGTAACAAACTTACTCTGTTATAGGTAAATGCCATAACCGCTGCTCTCTTCACCACTGAAGTTTTAGAAAAGAGATCTGCAAAAGCTGCTCCTGAAAAAGATACATTAATTGGAAAAGCAATAAAAGATGACACTGCGGTGTCTATTGATGAATGGAGCTCAGGGCTTGAGGAGACAGATGATTCAACTCTTTACTTCTCACCAGACTTGGGAAATGTTGTGTTCAGCAGCGCCATTGATGGTTGGGGGTTCAGGTGAGGCAAGGCAGATAAGCTATATTCCATTGCTCTTAATTTGACAAGGCTTTGGAAAAAAAGAAAAAAAAATACAAATATGTAAGTTTATGTATTTAGCAGGTGCAGTGCACAGCCCTCACCCATGAGTGGACAAAAAATAAAAAATTAATAAAAAAATAAAAACAGGTATTTTCTAGTTCATTGTTGAATTCCAGCCAGGATTAAACAATGATATGGTCAAATACAGTTTCTTCTATTAAATCATTGATGTTTGTCAGATCAAGGTAGAAAGAAAATTTCAGTTGCCATTGGGTTTAAAAGATCAAAGTGACGTTCTGACAAGGTCCTCTCTAATTTTTGTTATTTTTGAAATTGTGTACAGTACTGTATCTTTAGTTAATAATGTGTAAGATGTCCCCTAATTTTAATTAATTTGATCTGTATTCCTTCTCAGCATTAGTGACTTTGCTAAAATATATGGCAGCAAGCTTGGCATTAATGAAAGCATTCTCAAAAAGACTTTATGGGGAGATTTTTACCTTCACACCAAATCAAAGCGCATCTTTAAAGGAGCACAGGCCAAAGCTAAGAAGCCACTATTTGTGCAGTTTGTGTTGGAGAACCTGTGGGCTGTGTATGATGCTGTACTGAGGCGGTTAGTTGTTTCTTTGCTTGGAACTAAGCAAAGTCTCTTTCTTACATGTAACCCTGTTGCTCTAAGAGTAATTCAGTTGCCTACCCTCCCCTCTCCTTACTAAACATTTTGTTTTACTGTAACTTGCAGAAAGTTAGTGTTAAATTTGGGTTAGGGGAGGGGTAGGTGAGTAGTTTCCCAGAATCTTACACTGATCCACTGAGTTGAGGTGACATGATCTGTCATTTTAGCTTTTATATCCAATAAAGAAATACTATGGTGACACCTCTTTGGCAGAATGTTTGCACAGTCTATTTAACCCTTTAAGTCCCAAGAACAACCAACATCAATTTTCTCCCAACAAAATCAATACATAATTAAAAGAAAAGTTTATAAGAATAAATAAAATAATCACCTAAGGGAAAAAACTTTGATCTTTGAACAAATTCTCCCAACTAATTCAGTAAGGAAATCTATGGAGATTAGTTTGGAGAATTTGTATCTGGATATTGTGGGGTTAGATCTTAGGATTTGACAAAAGGATTTGTTTTGAAATTTTTACTTTGGTCATTATCAAGAATGTCTTTTAGGAGTGACATTTAACTTATCATTTTTTTTACTCTAATTTTTTTGTTTTGTTTCGGTCAATGCCCAATAATTTTTTGCCTGCCTTCACATGAACTTCCCCTTTGAATTCTATTTTTGTAGTACTATTTTAGACCGTACATGTTTGTATTATCTATAGTTTCATCTGATGTCTAGAAGAAGACACATTAGAAGTGGCTTGAAAAGAAAACTAGTTAGTGTTTCAGCTGGGTTCTTAAGTCTTTTTTAAGTTTTTTTTTTATTTGGGTGTTAGATCAATCGCTCTTTCCACTAGTATTTCTTTAAATGACCATTTATTTTGAATTCAAAGAAAAATTTCCTGACATTTTCAGCGTGCAAAGAAAGTTGTGTCCGATAGTCAGGGCAAGTGGATTTTGCTATTGGGCTAGTGATTTTTGTTCTTAACTTCCCCGACGGGCAAGTGCTGTTTTTTGAGGAAATTCAAATTACGGAAGGATTGTAATCAATCCTACTAATCAAAAATGGTTTTGGGGCTAGTTGAATTGACTTGTGGGCTAGTACATGCTTGCTACAGCTTGCCCAAATGGCAGGCTGTAGAACTGACTTTCTTTGCACCTTGCATTTTAGGTGATTAAGATCGTACTCCTAAACATGCTTCATGATGCTAATTTTCCTTGTCTTATCTTCATGTATCATTGATAACTTCAAAAAACCTTCTAATTTGCTGTTTTAGAGACAAAATCAAAACTGAGCAGATAGTGAAGTCACTGAACCTGAAGATCTCAGCGAGGGACAGCCGACACAATGACAGTCGTGTGCACCTCAAGGCCCTGTTTGATCAGTGGCTACCTCTCTCTAGCTCCCTACTGTCTATGGTAATAGACAAACTTCCAAGTCCAGTTGAAATACTCAGTGAAAGAGTGGAGAAGTTGATGTGTAGTGGTGTTAGAACATTTGATTCGTTACCTGATGAGACACAGAGTTTGAAAGATGGTGAGCTTAGGAGGCTGTTTAGTTTGAGCTTGTCAGCCGTGGCCCCTAATTTATTCTGTATTTTTTTTTAGCTGATCTATCTCCCACCTTTTTGTGTCAGGCATGCATGTAAAGCTCCTTTCAGGGAATGTCTAAGCATTCAAAGAGCTTCATGTACATTTTAGCAATCGGGTAACAAAGAAAAAGAATATAAAAAATGCATTTTTGTGAGTTGCCCAGGTGCAAGGCAGGATTGTAGCTAATTTGTGAGAGGGCCACAAGCTTAATAGTTTTTATATCTTCAGTGCTACCCTCTTAAGATTAAATGCAGGCGCGGATCCACACCGGTTTCCACCGTTTTACAGAAATCGGTCACATTTTTCATACTAAATATATTTTTAATAATAAAAAACACTTTCCAAGTTGAAATCCTGTCTGAATGACTCGGAAACCCTGGAAAGGGGATTTTAAGACGTCAAAATCCACTGAAACGTCCTGAGGGAACCCGCCCCCGGAACCGGCAAGAAGCTTGCGCCTTCGGCGTTAGTTTAGGAAATCGGTCAGTATTTATCCTAGATCCGCGCCTGAAATGTATTATTAGTTTGCAAGTCTGCAGCTAGCACATGCAAGGCTATGGTTTGCCAAGAGCCAGACCAATATTCTGATGGTCTGGTATTAAAGAAGGGACTGCCGTTTCTCTGCAAAAGGCTAGACCTTTGCCCTCCTTTGATGGACATGTAGAAATGGCAGTCCCAACTCCAACAGGGGGCAAAGACTGGTCCTTCGATTGGTACTTTGATTCGTGCTAAACACGTTGACACTTTTGTAAAGCAGGCCTTTTTTACTCGTGTGCCACGGTATCATCATCTGCCACTTATCAAAACTTTCTCTTTTATGCTTATTTTAACTTTATGTATATCTATTTATTATTTTCTTGTTAGATTTCCTAGCTTGCTCCTCTTCTGGTGATGCGCCAGTAATCGTGTTTATTTCCAAAATGTTTGCTGTCGAGGATAGTGCCCTGCCAAAACATCGTAAGAGGTAAAGAAAGACACATCTAGTACACTAGTTTACTTGGGCCAGCTTTAAGTTTATTACTCCTTGAACTTATCTAACCAACAATAGTTTTCGCATCACCAAGAAACATACACCCCCTTGCTCCGAGAGGTTTTTCTTTAAGTATTCCGGTTTACCTCTAAAAACACCAGGAATTCCAAATTCCATTCTTATGTGGAATGCACGAGCATTTTCAGATGAGTTCTTCAGGGCTCCCAAGTGTTTTATGGGTGAATAAAATAATTACGGTACCGCTCAAAAGTAAGTTGATTGTCACTCGATTCTCGATTCTCGACGCTCTAAATTGAATTGAGCCTCAAGTCTTGGGAATCAAGTCTCGAGCTTGAAATTTCGAGTTTCGAGTTTCGAGTCGAGATATATAATGAACTTCTCGCGAGAGCACATTCTTTACATTTTTGTGGTTACACACAAGGCCTGGTTTGTATATAATCCCCGCGCTACGATCGCTAGGATCGGGGAAAAAAGTTCAGCGATCACAAAATTTAGTAACTCGCCACTCACCGTCTAGTATATTCCAGTGATCTCCAACATTACATGTACGCCTGAATCCTGTCAAACTCTTCATCAAACCCGCCATAAGTAGGAATTATGGGTAGACGTTATACAATTTTTTTTAAAATTTTTTTTTAATCGAACATATTTTATTGATAACAATCCTAACTATTAAAATCCTATTTACAATTAATTCACTTAAAAAAAAACTATTTCGTCAAAACACTATTTACAATTCCTTCCGTTAAAAAAACCCCTTAGTTTTGATAAGAAAAAAATTCATTTCATTAAACAAAAATTATTCAAATTAAGAACATTTCATTATAATAATAATAATAATAATAATAATAATAATAATAATATTATTATTATTATTATTATTATTATTATTATTATTATTATTATTATTATTATTATTATTATTATTATTATTATTATTATTATTATTAACGTTTATACATTTGGAAACCACGCTTGTCGGTCGACAATTAAGAAGTTTCCTTTCTTGGAGTTAATATGTTCTATTCCGTCGGTATAGTTAAACCTGCATCATTGTTGTCCATTTACTCAATTACTTTTTTCGGAAGGCCTTTGACCCAAGAAGAGATCGCTGCTCGGCGCGAACAAGCGCGACAACGACACGCGGAGATGCTGGCGAACAATCCCGCCTTGGAAAATGGGACTCCTCTCATCGTCGAGTCAACACGTGAAGAAAGTAAAGAAGATGAAAACAATGATTTGCGGGCAAAACAAAAAGCAAACAAACAGGTCTCCAAAAGTCATATGCTAGCATTTGCCCGAGTCTACAGTGGGACCATTAAAAAGGGGCAGCACTTGTACGTGTTGGGCCCTAAACACGACCCGCGAGAGACATCGGGCGTGGAATTGGGGTGTTTAAAAGGACAGGAGCAAAGGTAGTGTCTTTTCGTACTTAGTTTTCTTTGTCGTTTTAGTAGCAGTTACCTCTTGGGTTGTTAAAAATTCCTCAGAATCGCTTAACACTAGCTGCATAAATTTTCGTGGATTAACATATTTTTCCTGTGTTCAGTGAGACAAGGAAACTCAAACGGATTTAAAAATTGTTCGACTCGATACGTTTCAAACTCTGCTTTAAATCCTGTGGGTAATCTTTTTTCTTTAATTCCCTGTTCATTGCCTTTGTAGTTCTCAAACTTATTTTTCCTTACAAGTTAATGCAAACGTTTCGTCATAACGTCTAGAGGTTTTAGAGCCGTGTTCAACCAGTGAAAGAAGAATAAGTTTGGATAGAAGCAAAGCATTAACGTCAAGACACATCGCTCAAAAATTGAACTTAGGCACTGAATGGGAAGTAATTGTTGTTTTGTCCCTTTTTTTTCCTTGAAACAGTGACAGTGAAGAGTCAAGCGAGGGACTTTCCATAGCTAATTCAGTTGACAGAGGCACAAACCAGCACGTGCAATCCTTCACTGTACAAGATCTCTACCTTTTGATGGGCCGCGAACTCGAGACGCTGGAGTCCGTGCCGGCCGGGAATGTCCTGGGGATAGGTGGTCTTGAAGGTCACGTGCTCAAGTCGGCTACAATCTCCAGCACAGTCACGTGTCCTCCTTTTACTGCACTTCCGATTGAGGCTCGTCCTATTGTGCGTGTAGCAGTAGAACCAGTTCACCCGGCCGACATACCAGCGTTAGCCAGGGGAATGAGGCTGCTTAATCAGGCTGATCCTTGTGTAGAGACTTTCGTACAAGAAACAGGTAAGCTTTTGTCAGTCCACAAATGACCTGCTCGTCACTAGAGTTCTCAGTAGCCCTGTGGTTAGAGCATCCGAACTAGTGTCTGTCGTAGGTTCAATTCCCGACTGGAACCCAGTAATTTTTTCTGAGTTCTTCTCTTTACGCATCATTCTACTTATCATTTTGTGTGGTAACCAGATTTAATTAGTATGTAAAAGATAATTCGTTCTTTTGAGTCTGTGGATAGAATTTTTTACTTTGCCTATTTATTCATATCATTGCTACGACTTAATTATCAGTGCCTTTCTGTGGTTAATTAGATAAAAAGCGATAAATACTCTAAGCCTTCCTGTGGTGCTGTTTATAACACTATTCAGACGCCGCTAAATATTCGTAAGCATCATATTAGACCATGTTAAAATGCAAGGGTGTCAGCTCGCAACTAGGCTGCGCCAGGCCCTCAGATATTCGGGACTTTGCAAAAATGTGGGGAAGGCAAGCGAAAAATAAGGCGGGCGCGATATCTTGGAGCCTGACTAGCTCGTAACGGTCAGCTGATGAGAAAGTCTCCCCTCCACCCAACCCTACCTATTTTGCTGACTTATCTGCAACCCGTGCCCATTGCTCATTTGCCTTTTCTTTGACAGGGGGCGCTACCCATATCTTAATTTTAGTAAGGCACCAGGGGAGATACTGAATTGTACAAGTTGGTTCTTCTAGCGTTTCAGTTTATAGATAAAATCCTCAAGTGTTATCGTGAGAAAATTGTGGCTTCCTCTCTTAACATCTCGAATTTGTTTTTTCAGGAGAGCACGTGATCGTAGGAGCGGGTGAGGTCCATTTACAGCGATGCATAGACGATCTCAAGCAGCGATTTGCTTGCATCGAGCTCAACGTATCCTCTCCTATTGTTCCATTCAGAGAAACAATCGTCCCACCTCCGACAGTAGACAGGGTCAACGAAGCCATAGTGAACGAAACAATTGTAGCGCAAAGCAGACAAACGGACCCGGAGGAGACAGGAGAGGAGAGTAAAGATATTCTAAACAAAGAGAACGGTCTTTTAGAAAGCCGGACAGCCAATAAGCTTTGCTCTTTACACATCCGGGCTACACCCCTCCCGGAGGAGGTGGTTCGGTTGCTTGATAAGAAAAGCGAGTTGATAAAAGTACTGGTGACAGTTTCCTCTGCGTCGAGTGCTGCGGAACGGAAGCAGTTGGCCTCTCAAGTGAGCGTTTCCACCATGGAAGCGTTAAAAAGTTTTTATCAAGATTTATGCAACGCTTTTAAAGAAGCAGGAAGTCTGTGGGACGGAGCCGCAGACGATATCTGGGCATTTGGTCCACGTAGGATTGGTAGCAATGTGCTACTGAATAGGATCCCTGGTTATAGACGACCGTCACTGTGGCATAATGTTGGTCTGTCAGGTACATGTATCTTTATACTTCAGTTAGTTTTGTACGACTTGACATCAATTCATTAATTCTTTTTTGGTTTACGTACAAAATAAATTACTCCGCGTTATAACTAGACACAAGAATTATCTTGTGTGAGACCCTAGTATCGTAAGAAATGGTGATCCCCATTTTTGTCTTAAGAATGATTGAAAATTTATCTTCTAATTTTCCCCTCTGTACAAAGGAAAACCAGAAAGAAAACCCGCAATAAACAACCCCAACTTGACATAAACACAGTTTTTGTGCAAGGTGAAAAAGCTAATAACTAAAGTGGAGCTTTTTCAAAAATTCACCCTAACCCTAAACCTCCGTCTTCCCCCCTGGACTCAAACAAAAAGCTGGTTTTGACGAGCGACGCAAACGCAAATACAAGAGAGCATGTGTGTGTAGTTACCTCAACGCAAACGCAAACTGGTGTATGCCTTTGTGTCCATTTACACTTGTGAATTGGGACAATGCAAAAGTAAGCGCAAACTCAAGGTGTAAAAATTTCGTCCACCATGTTTAGCCTACGTGTTGCCGCACCCTCCCCCTGAGAAAGGAAAGGGGAGGAGGGTGCGGCTACACTTAGGCTAGCCATGTTGGGATTCAGGGTGCTCAAATGCGCTTGCGTATCTCGCTGTGGAAGAATTCCTTGCTTTTGTGTTTGCATCGCTTGAGTGACCCTAAGAGTTTATTTATTTTTTCCTTTAGGAAATGGGTGTCAGTTACCATCAGAGGTTAGTTATCGGGATTATGATAACAGTATAGTTAGCGGTTTTCAGTTGGCTACACTCGCTGGACCTCTCTGCGAAGAACCATTGATGGGCGTTTGCTTCGTTATTGAGAACTGGATCTCACTGGAGCAAGACGGTCTGACAAGTATGACTGGTAAAACAGGCTCAACCGGTTGTGCAGGAGTAATTGGATCAGCGGGGCAGGAAGGTTTATGTCCTGAGAAGGGCAGTATTGATGAAGCTAACTTAGAAATAAGTGAAAACGTCAAAAACATGGACAAAAGTTGCGAAGGGAGAGATAAACATGAAGAAAAGAACAGCTTTCTTAGTGAGGATGCTTCAACAAAACCAGGTTATGAAGATAGTAGTGAATATAATCCTCTGCGCCAAAAGATGGATAGATTCGGACCATTCTCAGGGCAGCTAATGTCAGCTGTCAAGGAGGGTTGTAGGCGGGCGTTTCTGCTACAGCCAGTTCGCCTTATGGCAGCCATGTACACTTGTGACATTCAAGCTACGGCGGAAGTCCTGGGCAGAATGTACGCGGTTGTTGCTAAACGAGAGGGACGGGTACTGAAGGAGGAAATGAAAGAAGGTTCTGACGTGTTTGATGTCACAGCCGTACTTCCAGTGGCAGAGAGTTTTGGATTCGCTGAAGAAATAAGAAAGCGAACCAGTGGACTGGCAAATCCACAGTTGGTGTTCAGCCACTGGGAGGTGAGTAGTTACGACAACATTAAACTTTTCACCATAGCAACTAGAAGAACTGATTTGTTTAAGTCAGCTTAAGTCAAAATAACAATTTACAGAAAAAAAGGGGGCACATGCATCTACTGTTTTGGAAGAGAATTTACCACGTGCAAGTTCGAAATTACGATAGGTGTTGTTCCTTGGTGTCACCAAAGATTTTTCGTATTCTGAGTAGCGTCCAGCTAAGATATAGAAGAGGTTAAAAACAATGGAAAGTTAGAAAACCGTCATCTCAAAAAGTGGTCGCAGTCGTTTACGAGAGGGGTCGTTCACGAGGGGCTTCAACCATAGAGCAATGACTGAAAAACATTTTGTTGTCATGGATAGGTGTTGCATGGTTATGGTAGGTTTTCGCTCACGAGAGATGGCCGCACAAGGACTTTCGACAGTACTAACATGTATTTAATTCCCTGTAGGTTGTGGATATTGACCCCTATTGGGTGCCAACCACGGAGGAGGAGTACACGCATTTTGGCGAAAAAGCGGACTCGGAAAACCAGGCGCGAAAATACATGAACAGTGTACGAAGAAGAAAGGGTTTGTATGTGGAGGAGAAGACTGTCGAGCACGCAGAGAAGCAGCGGACGTTAAAGAAGTAATGACATCAGACGGAAAAATTTCGAGAAGTAAGAGTCGGTGAATGCTGGTAACTTAAATGTCTTAAAGTGCTACTACGATCAAAACTTTATGTTAAGTTTGACACAAGAACGCTTTCTTTTCACCTTATCAGAAGTGGCTGTACCTATCTCAGTCATTGAAATGAATTTTGGGTGCCCCTAAGTGAAAATATTGAACTTGAAAATGGAGTTGCGGTCATATCAAACAAACCTATTGTTCTCTAAGGCGACTTCATTTTCTTAACACACCTTTTAACAGTGGATCTCCCTAGCAAGAATCCCTTCACCCTTAAACTCCGAACTGAGACCATCGTTGAATTTCTCCCTACAGTAACACTACTCAATCAAACCTAAAGTCGGGAGAAAACAGGAAATGATCAAGAAGTCAACAAGGTCTTTGTTGTTAAACAAATTCTCCTGATGAGTACCAAAGAAAATGTATGGAGAACAGTAGGAGAATTTTCATTGATATGCTGCACCTCTATGGCACACGCGGGGAATAATAAGATATGGGCGAAAATAATTTCCGCGTATGCGAAGAAGTGCAGCATAACCGGGTTTTCGTCGCTGAGGGGAGGAGGGGGGGCAAAAACGCAAGTATATATGCCCTCTCGGGGCATGAACGCATAGAAAAGCGATCTGAAAAGTGATCCTGATGTTGGCAAAACATTTAAATACCACGCTCAATACCCAGGGGTAATGCAAAGGTCCAACGTGCTAAATTATGGGGCCCGCGTGCCCATTTCGGAGCAAACATATCAATGAAAATAGTTTGGAGAATTTCCCTGTTGATATTGGGATTAAAGGGTTAGATTGATGAGTACGCTGGTCTGAAAGTTTAAGGTTGGGCGTGGCCTATGTCATCGGGAAGGAAATACGGGAAGACATCGTTGAAGCTCTGTATCGTCGATAATAAAGTTGGTTTAATCGGAAAAACATTGTTTTCTTACGTTTTAACCGTAACCCTGAAATGCACCCAAAGATTCAACTGAGAACAGCCAGATGCTAATCAACGTAAAAAAGAAAGAAAGCGTTATCTTGCATTAACCCTCCATAATTATACGTTTTATTTTACAAAATTCAATATATGGATTTAGCTAGGTCGAAAAACCAAGCTGTCGTTAATATATTTATAGTTTACTCAAATAAAAAATAAAATCTTGTAATGGTAAACGGCGAAAACAACTAGAACGAATGAAAACAGATCTAATTGGCCAAAAAAAAAACTTGTGCACGTGTAATACACTTTTTTGTACATTTCTTTGTCGTTGTTTTGCATGACTACAACGTGACACTTCTAGTGCACGTGACACGTTTTATGGAGGAAATATCGTATGTGCTCCGGTTTGCTTTTTTTCTTCACTGCGGCTTATTTTCATCTTGGTGGCCGCTAGCACTTCTTATTTTCTCCGCCGCCATAACAGCTGCATGTTTTCTTTCCGACGAAATTCGTCTCCGTCATTTTTTTTTCTTTCGCTCTAGCACTTTCTTTGTTATCCACATCGATGTAGGCATTAAATTTTAGTCGAAAAGACTCGGCTTTGTTGCTGTTTTTTGTTTTGGAAAGTTCTGGTAGTCGTGCAATTTACCGCCAAACCGCGCGGTTGCTTGAAGTAAGAAATTTCACCCCGGCTTACAAGAAGAGGTGGACCTACGGACGTACCTACGTACGTATGATTTTGTCAGAGCCGAAATTTCTTGGATGCATAGATAACCAAATTTTCTTAGAGGGTGTTTACATGACACCTGGGCGACTTTCGCGCCGGTGCGAGATCACTCCGGTTCCCTTTCATGGCGTGAGTTCAGCCCAGTTGTTGTACCGGGGCGAGAATTTCATTATCTCGCAACGAAATCATGTAAACGCGAAATGACCACCCGTTTCGGTGTGAAATCGGTTTGCTGGTAGACTGAAACGGGTGGCGCATGCGTTTTGTTTGCGATTTTGAATCACACGTGTATTTTATCAACATGAAGTGGACCTTCAAATAACGAGATATGAATTGACTCAGTCATGATGTATTTAAAACCCGATACGAAATCAAAAAGTATGAAACTCGCGCCGGTGCGAGTTTTCTCATGTAAACACCTCCTTACCCATGCTGCTCCGCTGGGCTCGCTGCACGAAATCTCCGCTAGAAGTAAACTGTAGCTAGTCAAGACTCTTTCAGTCCTTGACGCCAGAGGGACTTTTCAGACGACGTCTAACTGGTCGACCTAAAAAAGATAGTTAAACGCTACGAGTCGAAGCGTGGTTTTCTTCATTAGTAGTATGAATCAGCTTTCCTTCTGCGACAAGGATAATTGCAGTGTTTGGGCGATTTTTAGCCCCTTGTATGTACTTAGGAAATGTTTTCAGCCTTAGCCGCGAGCAATATCACTCTTACGCCAGTTTGTGCGGTTTCGCACGGGTCTTCGTTGATATATTTTCGTAGGTTTTCTATAGACCACCTCCTAGCTTTTCTAATCTATATTGGTTACTTTTTTCGAGGACGCTAGATTGTTATCCTCTTCGCAAAAACTGTCCTAACGATCGAAACACTGGAACCGCCCGAATCGGGTGATTACTTAATTTTTAGATAAACTAGAAAATAGCGTTTAGTAAGCTTGTGGCTCGCTATCTTCGTGTCTTAGGAGCATTCCATCGCTTAAGAGCAAGTGAAATTCTTGGAAATCCGGTAGATTTGTTGACCAAATTTCCAAGGAGGAACAGCTTAAGCTGGTCTAACCATGCAATTTGAATACGCCAATACAGTCTCATAGCCGCAAGTGAAAGTAGGCAATAAACATTGAAAAGTTTACTTACTTTCCGCATTGAATCTTCTGATCGGGTATTAATAACGACTAAAGAATTAAAAAAGCAGGAACTTTAAAATCTTTCAGTTTTTTCATAACGCTTTACGATTACTCGCAATCGTAATAAAACCGCCCCCATGTTTTTAATGCACCCCATGTTTTACCTCCAATTTTTATTCTAGCTACGATGTTTTTATTAGTAATAGGAATTTTTGTTGTCTTCGTCTGTCTGTAATCTCTCTCGTAATTAAAACACAATTTAGGGAGCTGTGTAACAGCCCACGCGTTCGCTCTGATGTTTTTTGGTCACCGGCTGATCACCGCCTACGTGTTCTTTTACTATTAGTAATGTTGCGTCGTAAATCGCACTGCTCCCCTCAGCAGTGGAAACTTCTCGATAGAGTATGTTTACCAAAAACAATGCGTGGCATCAGTTAGGGGCATTCTCTATATTTAAGTAGTTAAGTGATTTATTCAGTGAATATCTTTAATAGTTCGTCTGTTCAATGTGTTCTTGGAACTTAAAGAGCAAAGAAAAAACCGCCAAAGAAAAATTGTTTATTTGAAACTATATTCGTAGGGTTCAGTTAATTTGCCATTATAGTTAATGCTAACAACGTTTTTTTATTTACGTTTTTTTCCTCATTACTACGGGAGTACTAAATATTTCTTACAGTTTCCGATCCGCCTACTGCTTTTCCCCGAAAAATCAACTCAAACTTTATTAATGCAATAAACCTCTTTAGTTGTATGTTTTGTTTTCCTAAAAAAGGTCCCAGGGGAACTTGGCCCATTGTCTTTTCATAAATTATGCGTAGATATGCACGTGAATAAAACGAAATTTGAAAGAAACGGTTCCCTAGAGTATTGTCACATGACCTGTATTGGGAAAACAAAACATGCAAGCGAAAGAGGGGTATTATCATAAACCTGTTTAGTTTTTAAATCTACATACTAAATTTTTTTTCTAAAATGCGTGATGTCTTTTTAATGATCAAGCATTAGGCGGGGATGTGGTATATAGTACATTATTATCTACGTGAGTGAAATTTCCGACTTCATCTTTTAATACGTCGACGTCAGCATTTTTATCAGCAATAGAATAAAGGAAACGGAAGATTGAGAACTTAAAAGAAATAACTTATTAAAAAGAGATGAGTTGGCTTTTTGTTTCAATGTCCAAATTGCAAAATAGGCCATATACCATATGTATGAATCATATGCACGTATCAAATGCTTACTGGACCGTTGAGTGACCATATCACATTTTGTTTTGGCGTTGTATTCGTGGAGTTTGAAAAGAGGATATATTGGAGCCTTTGGTGTAGTTAACAAACAACAGTACGTTTACGACACGAAAGAACCGTCTAGCTAGCAAGTCAAACGGTAGCTGTTCTCAGAATTAGAAAAGAAACATCGCGAAAGTTCGTGGAGTTCGCCTTAGTTTACTCGTGTAGCGTGTGTTGACGCTGCACGTGTACGCAAAACAGACAACAATTCAACACGCGGCAGCGTAAGCAGGTATAGTGTTCTTACGGACATGTAACAATTTGTTTACTTGACAAGCATATTCAAGTTAAAAAAAGGAAAATTCGATTCGTTAGTCTTTATACCTCCGTCAGTTCAAAAAAAATAAATGAGACACTTTTAAGTCGATAACTTTGGATTTTGTCAAGTGCCAAATTGAAATTCACTTAACTTCAGTTATGTATTTATCGAGATACAACTTCAGCAGTTTCCTCACTGACTTTCCATGTGGCCAGAAATCTAAGACTTGAGATCGTTTCAGAGTGGCACGTTTGATGTCTAGTACTTTTTGAAGAGAATGTGAGGGAAAGTAATTTAACCAAGGCTGAACAAAATTTCGCATTTTGAACATTACCACAACGTACCACGTACTCCTGTGGGGAAATATGCATCATGGTTTTGCTATGGACAGAGCTAGATGACTAGCTCAATTTGAGTTTTATTACTGATAAATTCATATTTTCAACAGTTCGGGTAGTGTAAAATAATTAAACGGCAACTTTTGTTACTTTTTCGGAGATTAAGCGAGGTCCAGTGAAGTTAATGGGTAAAATGCAAACATGCAGGAGCAAAAAAAAAAAATGAGATTTTGAAGTTTATAATAGCTCGGCACCATACATAATAATAATAAAATTTATTATTTGTATTGCGCCTTTTCTATAAAATATTCGAAATAAAATATTCCATATACGGCAGTAATAGCTCGGCACCATACGGCCTGCACCCACGGGCATTACTGAATTTATGATTTTCTTTCTTTTTCACATAAAGGATAAAATAATACACTACAAAAAACATCATTTTTGTTAGGACATATTTCCGTCAACGGCAACCAATGTCTTCCACCTACTTCTCGCTAATATTGTACAAGAGTGATATAACCAGAAGTACTTGAATTTTAGTTATTACAATATAACATCAGTCATTCTTAGCATTAGTGCCGGCTCACGAAAAGGCAAATTTATGTTTTTAGTGGCTTTTTTGATTAGTTGTATTGTGCAAATTTTGATTTCCTCTTTAGATGGATGTGAAAGCACTTAACTGCGACCCATTTTGCGGACATCGAAAGCACGTTTGATCGTTGTGCTATGTATAAAATTTCATTAGTGTTATTGTTCTTTGGAACTTAAATTTGCAAGATGACTAGGTCAATATTTTTTCTCTACAATTAAGCAAGATTCTTTTGAACAGAAGCGGAGGAAAATGAAATTATTTTTCTCAAATTTTCGAGAGCTCGTTCCCGAAAGATAACGCCCAGGAAGACCAAGGTACTTTTCAAAGGCCTTTAATACTCGTACAGCATTCGGCACGCGTCGGCGTTGTCAAATGGTATACCCTTTCATTAAGGAATTGGTACCTCTTTTTCATGGACGCAAAATAAAAATACAACGAGACTAGGAGAACAAATGTTTATTTTTTTTAGAAAGATTTTCCTCCACCTCGAGTGCTAGTCGGTGAGCACTGAAGCAAAGTAGTCCCGGGAGAGGAATTTCTTTCACGCTACTTTTTGACAGCCTAGCGCAGAAAATTATTGCTTGTTATAAGAATTTAATAATAATAATAATAATGATAATGATAATAATGATGATGATGATGACGTCGACGACGACTTCCAAGGAAGCAATTTACTAATTCGTTGACATTTTCTTGGGTTCCAATTGTAGTTCCTCTGTACGGAATCTGCCCTCAGAATGACTGCCAACGATACCGTCATATTTGGTACGTCTTCAACGGATAATGGCATGGTAAACGAGCTGCACTACACTCCGAGTTTATTTACTGGCATTCTAGTTACTGCTGTTGATGGGACAATTGCAATCGTTGGAACGCTTGGAAATGTTCTGGTATTAACAGTCATTTTTGTGCAGATACGATTTTCAACAGTCTCGAACATCTTAATTGCAAACCTTGCTACGATAGATCTGGTGACAGCGGCCTTACTGATACCGGGAGATATCTACCGGCATGTGTGCTATAGGATGGGTTTCTGCCATGTTTCTCATACGTTCGTGCTACTACACCGTATTCTTGCTCAGTTTGTGGTCAGCGCGGCTGCCGTGAGTCTATTTGTAATAGCAGTTGAACGCTTCATCGCTGTGGCTTTTCCTTTTCGCTACCGGTCTCTGTTCACTAGAGCCTGGGCCAAAGCCTGTGTCGCCTTAACGTGGACTGTAGGAACATTCATCACGGGAGTTTTCCACGGTCTAAAGATTGTTTACATTCAGAACGTAATTTTGATTTTCCTAGTACTATTGACGTTTTCCATTTATGTTTACATCTTCTCCGTCGCCTTAAAGCACGAGAAAAAAATTGCTGCGATGCGCTCGCAGGTTCCGAATTTCCAGCGTTCCTCTCCACTTCCCTGGGAGCGTAAATCAGCTCAAACAATGGGCATCGTTTTGGGAGTGTATATTCTTTGTTGGGTACCATCCGTGGTGTTTTATTCAGTTGTTCGAACAGATGATTGGTTATTCCCGAGATTGCAGTTCTGGATAAACTCTGTTTATTACTTGAATGCAGTACTAAATCCTTTTATATATGGTGTGAGAAGCGCAAGGTTTCGTAAAGAGGTAAGACGACTCATCAAGTCTTTTCGGGCCCGAAGATTGTTTTCTTATAACACTTCATAAAAGCCAAGAAACTCTTAAAGCTCCACGTAGAATCGGAGACTACTCGAGACTACTCCATAGTTGTTGGTGAAAAATAACAACTTTGCCCTGAATGGGCGCGGGTGCGCGAAGGAGGATATCTAAAGAATGCTTTCGCCGACAGATTAAATCGTACTACAGTGAAAACTGGCCAGTTCTCAGGTATCCAGCGTGGCGATACAGTTTTTAGAATAACTTGTACAATCATGTCTGTGAGAGATTCTGCTGAAAGCGAAGAGCTTTTGTTCGCAAAACTGGAGTATTCCAATTCCCTATCGAATCTATACCTGCGCGAGTGAGCTATATGTAGTCTGTTAGCGAGGATGGGACTTACGTTTTTTTCTTTTAGGACCCGCAACATACGACAGTATTAATAATCCCCATTGCGCAATTGCAGATGGCTTATTCAATTCCCACACTTAACGGCGTCTTCGATCCCCTTGACCAGCAGCGGTCAGGAATGGTTTGTTTCGTCAAACTAGCATGCGCAGAACAGGGCGAAGACTCGGGCTGTGTCTACACTATATCCTGTAGCTTTTCGTGTCGTGTCTGTTGCCTTACTGCGGGAACCCAAAACCTGACAAATGAATATATGCCCGTGGGGCAGGGATGTCTTACTTGAAGTCGACGACACTAAATATATCTATAAAGGGAAAACATTCTTTGGAAACAAGAAATATTGCTATAAAAATGGTGAAGGATTTACTCGGAATAGAAAGATTTTGTGATATATTAAATTATGATCATAAGTGAAAACAATTGTTGCCTTTCTTTAAATATGAAGCTGCGTACAAACGGACACAACAATTCCCAACATTGTTGGCCCAATAATGTTGGCAGTTGTTGCGTCTGTTTGAACGCAGCTATAAGTTTGACCTGTTTCAAACTTTGCGCAACAACTCCCAACAACACGCAGACACATGCAACAGGGTGTGCAAACAGAGGCAACGTGAACATCAAACAATATTGGGAGTTGTTGGCCGACAATGTTACGTCTGTTTTCACAAGGCTTAAGTTATAGTAGTTAATGGTAAGTTTTTCAAAGCTGTCACTTGACGGAGTTAGAACTAAAATTGCGAGGGGTGTAGAAAAAGGTGTCAAAGGTGTCAGATTCCGCGAAAACTGCGTATTGTTCCTCAATCCATTCACGGTTTTACCATACTCGCTTAAATTCAAAATGCCGTTCCTCCGAAAAAGTTTAGTAGAGGGAGCTTTTATTTCGTACAATGAGTCGAACTGGGGAGAGCTTAACCTCATACCCGGATCTCACTCTGACATACGCTGAAAAACCCTTGGCCGTGAGGGATCTGGGTACGAGCTTAGAGAGTGCCCTTTTCCTAAAAAAGCGGTAAGCTTTTTAGAAGCCCTTTGCTCTTGGACTACTGAGCTCGAAAATTCTCTGTCTTACTTTTGAACGAATCATATGGGGTAAGGTTGTTTCAGTAGACACAGGCTCTGAAAAACACGAATTTTGTTTCAGAAGAAAGCAAGCTTGTACGCAAAAAGCCCGCGTTAAATCTCGCGCGTATGAGAACTGATTGAAGAACCCTACTGGGAAACCTCTTCAAGTGATGGTATCCTGAGAATCAGGCCTTCCCTAGGGGAAAAGGGGAGACGAGATTTTAGAGGGGATGAGAAAGAGAGAAAGGAAGGCCTGATCCTGAGGGTTGGGTTGTGCCTAATCTTGGTGTGAATCATTAACCTTCGTCACGTGTTTCTTCCCTTTTGCTGTCTCCCCTCCCCTATCACTTCTTTCTTCTCCTTCCCCCCCCCCCCCCCCCCCCAACCCCCCTATCTCAGGCTAAGGGGCGGGGGCCTCCCCCCCCGGCCCCTTTTTTTTTTTTTTTTGAATGATGGGAGGGAGCCCCTTCCCCGGGCGAAGGGGTGGAAAAGAAGGAGCGGGGGGGGGGGGGGGGGGAAGGGGACCTGGAGAAGTCCCAGCTTTGGATTTTGTTCTTTGTAAGGTGTGGGGAGAGGGAGTTTTAGGGGGGAGGAGAAAGGAGGAAAGGAGGGCCTACCCCGGGGGGTTGGGTTGTGCCTAATCTTGGTGTGATCCTTTACCCTTCTCCCCGTTTTTTTTCCCTTTTCCTGTCCCCCCCCCCCTTTCCTTCTTTTTTTCCCCTCCCCCCCCCCCCCCCCCCAGTAATGCCTGATACTAAGGCTAAGTGGCGGCGGCTTCCTCTGCAGACGCTATTTTGATTTTTTAGTAACTGAGAGGAAGGATCCTCTTCGCGAGACGAAGGTCTAGAAAGTACGGACTGCGTGGAGCGGGAGGCGAAAGAGTCCTTGGAAATGTCCTACCTTGCGATTTTGTCTCTGTAAAGGTCTGGAGAGGGCCATTTATCCCAATCGTTTTACGTGGCGATTTTATCGCGCAATTTTTTACCACAAGGCTGCGAACTGGTTGCAAGGAGACCTCAAAAGTTGACCCAGCGGATTTTTGAGCCCAGTTCAAAGCGCTGCACGTTTTAGCCTTCAAGCAATAGCCTCCGAGCAGGCTCACATGTGAAAGTTTGGCGAAAACGTTTGGCGGCGCAGGAGAAGAATGGCTTGGCCCATTCTTGTCGCGCACTGGTGGCTCCGCCGCCAAAAATTTTCCCCAAACGTACGTTTGAGTCATTTTTTTACCCTGCCCCCAGCTGCTGGCTTGCTGTTGGCTCGCAGGCTATGCAAAAGCGGTGCTTTAAATTTTTGTCTGCTCGTTCATTCTAGGGTATCATTTTCCTTTTTCGAATTTTAGTTGATTAGAGCTTCCACATTATTTGCCTAAAATAAGATGCTGTGCAGTCCAAAGGTCACATGAAAAAGTTTTAAAATTTTCTGATACCTCTTTTCGTCATAAACTGGGGATCAGATACGTATAGGATGTTGACAGGTTATATATTTCGTTACTCTTTTACTGAGATAAGTGTTTACTCGCAATGTATGTGCAAATAAATTTTCTCTCATCTTTTATTAGTGGTTGGCTGACTGTTTTTTATGGTTCTTCTTGGTGATTTTTAAAGAGACTTGCGTCACCGATGCAAGTCTTGTCAAATCTCTGTCACTAAATTTGCTGATATTTTAACCGCAGAATTTCAGGGCACTTTAAGCAAAACCCCATAGAATGCTGGATGGGATACAAGAAAACAATTGTAATTGACAGGTTTTAAGTAAAGATAACATGTATTACGCTTTTCAACCTACCCAGTTGGCTTTAGAAACTCCCCTCAGATTTATTGCAAAACCTAAAAGTGATAAAACCAATCGGGAGAAAAAGCACCCTGGCAGGAAAAACAAAACGAGATAAAAGCAAAAAGACTAGAGCACAACATTTAAACCCTAACTCACCCATAATTCATGTTTTCGAACCATAAAAAACACCGTTCCTGAGATCAGCTCAGTTTACGAGTGACCGCCCAATAAGCCGAAAATCACGAGCCGGTGTAGTTAATAGCCGGTTACATAACCTGTGGCGTAGCCATGACTTGGCTTTCTTTCTGTTACCTTCAGGCTCTCTTTTGCTTGATCTTCAAGTTTGGAGGATTGTAGTTCAATTAACGGGGAGGTTTAATTTGTCTCTTTTTACCGCTGTGAAGCGTGATTCTGTTCAAGATCTTATTTAAAAATTTCTGTTTGCGAAAAAGCGTTCGTGACCATCAATTAGTGTGTTGACAAGTCAAGCTCTTCACTCATGCAACATGAAGAAGTGCTTCACACCTTTAGCAACGTCGACATACGGGTTCTTATGCTTTTTTACAAAGTGTCACAATTGTGATAGTCCGCGGGAAGACCAACAGAAGCCATGCCATACAAAGTAATTTCCCCTGACGACCTATGTGGCCATCATAGACTCCAAGCTTGTTATAAAACCAAACTCTCCTATTTATAGACAATGGATTTCCCCAACTGTTCCGGTTCGCATGCAGTTTTTTGTATTCAACGTAGAGAATCCGTTGGAAATGAAGCAGGGGAAACAACCTTATGTGACTCAGAAGGGACCCTACTGCTACAGAGTTCATCAATTGAGAAAAAACATCACCTGGAATGACAATTCTACAGTTTCCTTCAACAAGTTTACCAAGTATATCTTCAGCGCCGAGTGCTCTTGTTCCTCGTGTGATGCATCTAAGGACACTATCACACTTCCCAATGTACCACTGGTTATTTTGTCCGAGGTTTCAAAAATGTATCCTGGATCTGCTCTGATTTTCAATATCATTTTCGAGAGGTTCAAGGAAGAATTCTTTAAAGAAATCACAGTACACGAGATGTTATGGGGATACAGAGATCCAGTGTTTCAATTATTCTCCGAACTGAGGCGCAAGTTTCACTTGTCTTTTCTCCCAGACATCGATCCCATTTTCCGAATGATGTACAACAACACTCTAGATGGCGTCACCACCGTTCACACGGGAGCATTGGACATTTCAAAAGCTGCAGTTTGGACCATGTGGAAGGGAAAACCAGATGTAGGCTTGTGGAGCTCCTCCTGGGCAAATATGTTCAACGGAAGTGACGGCATGCAATTTCCACCCCAAATTCGTAAGGATGACACGCTGTACGCGTTTTATGTTCAGTTGTGCAGGTCTATGCGATTTGTGTACGACTCGCAATTCAATGTTCACGGTGTGAACACGATGAGATTCACATACCCTGCGGAGTTGTGGCAAAATGCAAGTGTAAACCCAGCAAACAAAGGGTTCTGTCCTAATGGCTGTTTTCCTACTGGCATCCTGGATGCTAGCGTTTGTAAAAACACTCCAATTGCAGTACCAGCAATTGTTGCTTCGGAGCCACACTTCTATCAAGGCGACCCAGCGCTTGTGAATGATGTAGGAGGGCTGAGACCAAACAAAGAAGAACACGGCACCTTTTTTGATGTAGAACCGCACTTTGGACTTCCTCTGCACTTAAGTTTGAGGCTTCAACTTAACGTCAACATTAAACCTACCAAATATATTTTTCAAATGGCGAATGTGAAAGAGGTCATCCTTCCGTTAATTTACTTCAACAACAGTGTCACAGTTGATTCATCGACTGTTCACACAGTGAAAACAGTTTTGATTCCAATGAAACTCGTTCCTTGGGTCTCTGCAGCTTTTGTTTGTATTGGAAGCATTGAAATTTTATGCGTCATCTCCTGGGTGATCTTTATTAGATCCAAAAGAAAGAAACAGCAACCAGTAGAGAAAGAACAATCGAAAACAATTAATGAAGACGAGAACCAGCCACTACTTGGTAATGGAAAGTAGGATGATTTGAACGTCTTTAAGATCACCATACCGCTAAAATGAGAATTGTAATCAAAAGAGTCTTAATTAAAAAACAAACAAACAAACAAACAAACATGCAAGCAAGCAAACAAAAACAAGAGAGAGAGAGAGAGAGAGAGAGAGAGAGAGAAAAAGGGACTGATCGAAACAAAGGAGACACCGCCGATTTTTTTTGCTTTTTCCGTGAACCGTGATTGGGGCTATTTGTATTTTTTCTCGTGAAACGTGATGAAGGTTTTGATTCATTCCTAATGCGTGATTTCTCGTATCAAGTCACCTTTACATACACTTAAAAGCGTTTTTGGGTTTATGCATGACTAGG